CCGAGGGGCTGGGAGAGGGTCCGGCCCACGCTGCGCCTGGGCTGGGACTGGTCCCGCCGGCGCAGGGTAGCAGGAAACTCTCCGCACACTCACTGGATCTGGGCTAGGACTGGGTCTGGGGGCTCCCGGAACTCGGCAGAAACTGGAAAAAAATTTAAAAAAAGACATCTTGCTTCAGCTGTAACTGAGATACTACAATATATATTCAGGTTGCTTACTAATCAAAATGATGCTGAGACTGATTTCTTACAAATGTAATATATGTTGTTAGTGTACAAGGCCTTAAAAGGTATTTCATGGGTTAAAACGGATCCTCCTTTATTAAAGAATAAGTAGGTTTTGCTTCTTGCTCCCAGATGGCTCATGACTAAGGCACCAGAACGTGCAGAAACACTCTGAGCAGGGCTGTATGGTGCAAGGCAAGCCAGGTGCAGAAAGTCTCAGGGCGGATTTGTGCATGTGAACTTCCCATTGCCCAACACAGGCAACAGCCAAGGGAAGTGGTATCGGGCTGAGCCAGGAGTGGAAAATCCCCACCAGTGCTGCACGACTCCCCAGCTCCATTAATACGTGAGCTTCTGTGATGACCTCTAGGGACAGCAAAGTCTCTGGGTGGAGACCTGAAAAGGTGAAGTCTGGGTTAGAGTCTGCACCTACACTGCACCTGACATGCAATTGGGCAACTGGTTGATCAGAATCACCATCCTCAGCTAAGGGTTGAAAAGGGAGGCCCTCCCACTGAGCCATGCAGGGTTTGCTGTACTCAGTCCTTGACTTTAACTGCTGATTTTGGGTCATTTTATTATGAATTGAGAGTAATACTGCAGAGCAGTCTCTGTCTCTCTGTCTATGTCTGTTTCTGTCTCTCAGCATATAGTGTAATGGATCCAATATACTTAGAATGAATTTTTGTGCATATATATCTCCTATAGGCCAAAAAGGTTCTGGCTGCTACTTTTCATTCTGCTTTTGTGGATCTCCCAATGCTCCATATTTCTTTTCTTTTTTTTTTCCAAAAATTTATTGATAAACAGATAGCAATGAGACAGTTTCAAATCAAATCGGAAGTACAGTTTCAACAAATAATACACTGCATATATTCTTCTTA